GCAACCAGGTACCCAACAGGCCTTTTTGGATCTCTTATTCTCAAAAATTTTGACAATTTCTCTCGATCCACTATTTGAGGAGAGTTTCAGGCATAAGCCATACGAATTTAAGGTTCCGGTTGGTTATTTCCAGTGCAAAGTTGGGTATGAGGATTGCATTTATGATTTTAAAATAGCAGATTTTTATTCAATAAATGAATACTTGTCTGCTCTTGACTGGAGTGACTTTTATTTGATTAATGACATCGAGGCAGCTGCCCAAATATTTTAGGATTACATGTATCAATGCATTGATTTATTTGTTCCAAAGAAGTATGTGAAATGCTCCTATAAATTTCCTATTTGGTTCTCACCCAAGTTAAAAAATCTAGTTATTAAGAAAAAAGCTGCACACAAGCTTTACAAAACATGTTCTTCCACTGATTCTTAGCAACAATTCTCTGCTCTACGTGAATAATGCAAAATTGAACATAAATTGTCATGACGAATATTTTACTTCATTAGAAGTACATTTTCGTGAAAACCCTAGGGATTTTTGGAGCTACATTAGCAGACTTCGAAAGATTTCTAGTTATCCACAAGAATTTTTTTTTTGGGAACAACAAAGCTCAGGGTAATGCAGCCATAGCCAATCTTTTTGCAGAATTCTTCTCCACAGTGTATGACGAGGACTTGATCCCAGATTTTGAAAACCATGTTCGACAGATTGACAATGCGAAAGAGATTCAGCTCCAGTTCACAGCTGTTTTTGATGAACTTATAAATCTCCCTCGTAAAAATTCATCAGGGCCAGATGGTATTCCACCAAATGTACTTCGCAATTGTCACTGTTCACTTGTGACACCCTTGAATATAAAATATTCAATCTCTCCCTCAAAACTGGCGTGTTTCCATCCTTCTGGGAAAATAGTTACATCGTTCCTATTTTTAAATCAGGTGAGAGAGAAAACATTGAGAAATACAGAGGAATTTGTATTCAGTCAGCTATACCTAAGCTTTTAGACAAGCTAGTAACTAGCCAGCTATCTAAACTCACTAATAAAATCACAATCTCACAACAACATGGTTTTCAGCCTGGAAAAAGTACAGTGTCAAATTTGCTATTATATCAAGATAGCATATTGAACGCCTTTAAGAATAAATATCAGATAGATAGCATCTACACTGATTTCTCAAAGGCTTTTGATAAAGTTAACCATAGGTTCTTGTTGAGGAAGCTCGAGGCTATGGGCATTGTGGGTAGCTGGCTCGGCTGGTACAAAAGTTTCTTGGTTGGAAATTCTCAGTGTGTGGAGGTAAATGGAATTCTTTCTCAATCCATCGCAGTAACCTCAGGGGTCCCTCAGGGTTCTCACTGTGGACCCCTGCTGTTCTTATTATTTGTTAATGATGTGAAAAATGTCATCAGACACTCAGAATTTCTGAATTTTGCAGATGACAAAAAGCTATACAAAGTTATTCGCTGCTTTAATGATCAAGTCTAACTCCAGGAAGATTTAACGAGATTTAGTGAATGGTGTACTTTAAACGCTTTGAAATTAAACATAGACAAATGCTGTGTCATTGCATTCCATCGAAAAAATAAGCCTTTGATCCACGACTATAAAATAGAGAACACCTCACTGGAAAGGGTCGACTGTGTCAAGGATTTGGGTGTCTTTTTTGATACCAGTCTAACATTCAATAAACACATTGATTCTGTTGTCAATGGAGCTTTTAAGCAACTTGGATTTATTCATTCTTAGGAACTCAACACAGTTTTCTTGTTCAGTTCTGCCGATCCTTTTCAACAGCCTGGTTAGATCTAGATTGGAGTATGCAATAGTTGTATGGGGTCCTTACTATCAATCTTCCATAAATAAGCTGGACCGGGTGCAGCATGTTTTATAAGCAATATCACTTTAGAAGCGCTTTTAATAATTTAGGAATTCCTTATAGCTACAGCCTAATAGCAAGTCATCTGCGAATAGTTTCCATGGAAAAGCGAAAAGTGTATTTTACCATGTTATTCCTCTTTAAAATTGTAAACTCCTTAAGGTTGTGAAATTTTTTCTTTGATTGTGTTAAATGCAGTCTGATGCTCATTCATCCACCGGAATCTGGTATTTTTGTGTAAAAGGGGTGTGAGAGGTGCAATGAGGTGGGACATATGGGGTATATACTCCCGCACCCAATTACAAGTTCCTAAGAAACTTTGCAACTGTTTCTTTGTATTGGGAGGAGGGAAATTTTTTATTGCAATTATATGTTTTTCTTGGGGGATAATTTTACCTGCAGAAATCATGTAACCTAGGTATTCTAACTCTGAAGTGGCAAACTGACATTTTTCATGGGAAACTTTCAAATTGTGAATTCGGAGTCTTTTAAATATCAGTTGTAGGTGGATAAGATGAGTGTTTAAATCGGTAGAGTAAATAATAATATCATCTATAAGTAGACTTTACAAAGGATGTTCAAAAAGCCACAAAGTACTTCATTTGTCGTAAGCCTCTGGAATGTTCCTGGGGCATTTTTTAAACCAAAGGACATTACAGTAAATTGATATAATGCACCATCAGGGGTAGAAAATGCTGTATATGGCTTCGAGGCAGGATCAAGTGGCACTTGCCAGTATCTTGATTTCCGGTCAAGTACTGTGAATATAGTTGCATTACCCAAATTTTTCAGGGTATCTGGAATTTTGGGCTGATACTGATAGTTCATCAACTGTAATTAGGTTTATTAGACGGTAATCTATACAAAATCTGGGTTTTTTGCCTTCTTTATTGAAAATTACAATAGAGGAACTGTATCTTGAGAAAGATGGTTCGATGACACCAGCTGATAACATTTCATCCACCTATTGGTACATGATTTCTTTGAGCTGTGAATTCATTGGGTAAGGTTTCTGGGCTGTAGTCTTATCGAGATTAGTTAGAACAATTTTATAAGTTCTAGTGGGTTTGTGAAGGCCATAATTGAATATATCTGAATAATCTTGGATAAGATTCAAAATATCTGGGTTATTTTGTATTTCTGGGGAAAAAGAACTCAAGAAATTGGTATTGGGGATATGATTATTTTGCGGATTATGCCAGTAAACAGTTTTACGAGATGTAGTACCTATATAGGTACACTTTCTAGTAAAATCCAAGATAACATTATTGAATTTCAGGAAAGGCTCTCCTAGAATACTTTGTTCCGGTTATTTTGGTAAAAGGATAAATTCTGAGTTACAAGCTAAAGAGTTTATTGAAAAATCTGAATTCATTGAAATATTTAACCAAATTTATGGAAATCATGAAAACATTGCACTAGGACATTTGTGATTGTACTTATCTGATTTATTTGTGTTGCTTCTGTTCATAGAATATCTCTATTTCGATGCTTTTGGCCCCACGTTGGGCGCCATGTTAAAAAAAAGGGGGTTCGTAAGTTGTTGGGCCTTTTTCGCTTTCTCTCAACGACGACAAAAATAAAGCGCCAATGTTTTGTACCAATTTTCGACGTCCACCTTAACAAATTCAGTCACTTCTTTTTCTAGCCTCTGGGTTGCTTTTTTGAATCGCAAAGGCGATGGTTGGAGTCTTGAGTTTGCACCAGTTTTAGGTTGGGTTGAGTTTCTGAATGAGTGCCCTTGACTGACTGATTTTTCTGCAGAGCTTGCTAGCAGTCGGCTGACGGTTGCCTCTCTTTCTCTCTCTTGTCCGGTGGCCGTGTTCGGAGCGTGTTCCGTGGACACGGAGTGTGTTCCGTTAACAACAACAAAAGTGTCATCTACATAGCGAAATCAACAATTAGGTTTCTTTGTGGCCCTTTGAAGTACCATTTCTTCGAAGTGTTCCATGTAAAAGTTGGCTAAGGCCTGATTCACTGGTACCTTAATAAACAGCGAGACGACATCAAAACTAACCAGAATGTCGTTTGGTAGTAGAGTGAGGTCACTGATCTTTTTGATGTAATGGGCGGAGTCTTTTAACATAAGAGCTGGATTGGCCAATCGGTGTCTTTATATGGGCGAATCTATTGCACTTACAATGGGTCTGGGTGGCTTAGTTATTTTGAGAATCTTCGGGAGCCCATATGAGTATTCTAGGTGGTAAGGCCTCAGATTTGACGAGTTTCCTTATGTTTTCCAGGTCCAACGGTAGTGCTCGGAAGAGTTGATTGGTTTTCCGCAATATAGAAGCAATGGGATTGCGCTTCAGCTTTCTGTGGGTAAAAAGGTCTAGCAGTTAGGGTATTTTTAATTCATAGTCAGTCACATTCATGTTGCGTTTCCTTTATCTGCAGTTATGAATAATATGTTTTGTTAGATGTTTCATTGCGTATTTCCTTTACAGTGGTTTGAGGTTATGTGCGTATGCTGGCTTCCACATTTGCTATGATGTCTTCGAATAGCAGGTGTTTCGGTATTATTGCAAAATTGCCTCCTTTTCTTAGAACATTGGTTTCCGAATCAGTCAGAACGCGTTTTGTCAAGTTCATCACTGTGCGATCATTGCCACAGTGTTCAATGGTTTCAAGAACTCAAACTTATCCACCAGTTTCTTGGCTATTTTTGCTAGTGTGGCTTCCATCACGTCTTACGTCATTCGGTCAAGTTTGTCCCAGTCACTCCGAGGCTTGTTGTTGGATAACCTTTGGTTTATGGATAGATCCTTGTGCGTAGCTGCCAGGTCTTTCCTTGTCTGGTGAATCCGTTCCCGTTTCTCCGAAAAACAAAGACCCTTCCTTTCCGAGAACGAGATAAGGAAAATAGCGTAATACAAGCCCCACCCACAACCCTGGATATAAATAACGCAGCTCCAACAACTTCGAATCCAGTCATCGGAGGAACACAGAAGAGAACACTTCGTCTTCTTCCACATCACCTATAAAGATGTCTACCGCAGCATTAGACGACACGTTAGGTAGAAATATTACTCGGCCCGGAAAAACTTTTTTATTAGATTTGAAAGCCTTAATTCTGTATTTACTACAATTATTAACAAAAACATTATGAATGTATATTTTTTCAGAATACGAAGTGGCTCTTGGCGAAGAAGAAAGCACCTTAGACATGCTCTACGATTACTCCACGCAAGACGCGTGGCTCAACCATCCAGTGAAACGTTTCAAACCTGACAGCAAAGATAACAAATTCCTAAAAAACAGAGATCTGTACTCGATGTACCCCCACAACGGTTTTAGCCAGATCAACGACTTAATAAATGCCACTATTGTGACACAAGAAATAAAACAGGAACCTGGATCGTCCGACATTGAAACTAAACCGCCACAGCAAATTTTGATGCACCACGGAGTTAAACGGCCCGGGGATCCTTACGAGTTTGAAGACGACGGAAGTGGTAACCCTAATAATTGTAAAATTGACGGCTTTTCAAGAACAGCCGCTCCTATTAAAGAAGAACCAAAGGACAAAAAAGATATTTTGTTTACTAGTGAAGGATTGCAGCCTTCTTATAAGGATTTGGATCAGATTTTTGATAATTCCGATTATACCAGTAGTGATGAAGCGGTAAGATTTTTTGAGTTTTTTATACTTGTATCACATCACTGTGTCATTTGTTTGCTTGTAATACTTTGTGTGCACAGCTTTTTCACGCTTAGTTTTCACACCTCTCTCTCTTATCGCAGTGCTTTCCTCAGATACAAATCCAAACTCCGCCCGGTTCGGCCGGACCAACCAGCAACCATCTTTTGCACCACGACGACTCTACAACAACCAAGCGACTTTCTGGGCACGGCCAGACAAATTTGGGCGGTTGTCCCAACGTCGGTATGCCTCCAGAATTGAGCAAAATGTTTCCTACTCCGCCTAGCTTAGAGCATAACCCTATTGCGTCACCTTGCGGTCAGTTGGACTTGGGACAGCAAGACTATACCGATTTGACTATTGTCAGGGTGAAACAAGAGATTTATCCTATGATGGGAAGTCCGCAAGAGGAAAATATAGGTTTGTTATTTGCTATTTATAAAATTATATGAGAAAGTTTGATTTTTTTTTTTATAGAGGATTGGAGTTACGTTTTTAAGCCACCGGCAAGTTGTAAACTGGTCGGCAGCAGCAAATACGCCCCATTGAACAATCTTCCGAGTCAAGTGCAACCTGTAGCCCTGCCCAGTAATTGCGTGTATAAACCCTCGTGGGTGCAACACATGGAAAATAGCAAAAATCAACAACAGCAGCAAAATGTCAATAACAATAGTAGTAGTAATAATAATAACAACGTTAACAAAAACCCAAGTAGTAATAATCCAAGTAACCTTACCAGCAATAGGAATCGGACGCCTACGCCTTCCATGCCGAATAATATACATCAAAATGCTGGAATTTTTCCTCCTAGTCCTATTCATCCTCCAGGTAAATGAAACTCGAGAATATGCAATCGTTATATACTAAACATTATTGGGTTTTTGTAGGATTCAGGCCTCCACCGCCACCTTACGAACTTCCCTCTCCGGCCAATTCTACTACGTCGTCTTACTTAAACAAAAATATCAACTCTGTGGAGGCAGCTCCAACGCCGCAACCCAACGTCCGAACTCCGGAAGCCAGCTCTTTGGTACTTAACATTTTGCTCACTGATACTGCCTTTAACATCTTTAGAGATCACAATTTCGACAGTTGTACGTTGTGCGTTTGTAACGCTAGTCCAAAGGTAAGAATTGACTTAAGATATAATAGGAATTCTTCTTCTTTGAACATTTTTTGGAAAATCTAAATCAGAACAACCTTTTCACATCCTTCAAGCACTGTCTTTGTTATAGTATTATTGGTACATATGTTTTAGAAAACATGGTTTAACCATCAAATGTACCACAACACCAAGATTTCATTATCATTCTTTTCAGGTTGTCGGTAATATTCGTGGAGCAGACGCAGGCATCTACCTTCTCAACTCTGCCACTGACAAAATGCATGCCAGCGCCCAACCCATAAGTCCTTATCCCGGCTTAGGGCAACCACCGCCCTATGGCAGCATGATGTCGCCCCAACAACACCACAGCTCGGAGGAGGACCACATACGGTGCAGCTGTGGCTTTTCCGCAGTAGTCAACAGACGATTGGCCCACGGAAGTGGACTATTTTACGAAGACGAAATGGAAATAACCGGCATAGCAGCCGACCCAGGAGAACGTAAAAAGTCTTCCTTGGTTTCTTTGCTAGCTTCGTTGAGTAATATAAAGCCCGACTCGAATTTGGACCGCGAACAATTGGATGCCTTACCTCATAATTTACTAGAGATGATCCGGGATCAATTGGTGTTCTTCCCTAGTACCGCCAACGCCCTTTGTAGGGCAGCGCGATACGTTAAACAAACCAAAGTGGGCATGTACTCGAACGCTATGCACGTTTTAGAGTATTCAGACAGCAACGAAGTGACCTCTATTGCTTTGGAACAGAGCAAGAATTTACTCGAGAATTTGGGCATGTGCAAGGTAACAATACACACACTAAAAAAACTCCTTAAATATTTATACTAAATTGTTTTAGATTGAAAGTGACAAGTTGAAATCGTCTAATCCAATCGGAGTGCATAGGTGGCCTTATTTGAGGGCGCCCGGGCCTCAGTGCAATCAAGATATAGTTAGAGTAATGAAATCTTTGCAGCCTTTGCTGCAGGATGCTATACAAAAGAAATGTCAAACCAGGCTGTGGGAAGCACCGTCTGCCGTTAAGGGACCTTTAACTTGGCGACAATTCCATAGATTAGCTGGCAGAGGTGTGTAACTTAATGTTCAAATAATCAAGGTTTTACATGTGTGTTTTTTAGGTACTGATGACCGATGCGAACCCCAACCGATACCCTCATTGATAGTAGGGCATGACAAAGATTGGCTGTGTTTATCTCCTTACGCTTTACAGCAATGGGAAAGTTTAATGTTAGAACCTTATTCCTACTCGAGGGATGTTGCTTATGTGGTTGTAGCTCCCGATAATGACGCTATTTTACCTAGAGTGAAAACTTTCTTCAAAGTAAGTTATTGTATATATATGTAGGCATAAAATATTTATTTATTTTTTTAGGAATTATCAACAGCCTACGAAATCTGTAAACTAGGCAGGCACAGTCCCATTACAAAAGTGCTAAGAGACGGTATATTGAGAGTAGGCAAATCGGCGAAAATGAAAATAGGCAACGAACCCGTAGAGGAATGGTTTACCCTTCTAGGCGAAGGCGAAACAAGTGATATGCTCAAGCTGTACGCGCAAGTGTGCAAGCACCATCTTGCACCGCATTTGCAGCAAGTTCCTATGGATAAAACTTTGCTGGACCCTCCCGGAGATGGCAGTAATGAAAAACCCGCTCCCAGTCCGATGCCACCTCCTAGTACTCCGGATCCTAATATTAGTTCTCAGTCTTCTATACCTGATAAGGCTCCTTCTACACCTAAAAGCGATCAAGGTAAGAATAATTCAGTAGTTGATTTACTTTCCTAAGCTTGTTTTTTTTTATAGATGGAGATGGGTTAAAAGATAGTCCAGGTTTTGGTAGTGGTAACCTGGATATTTCCCATGACGAAGAAGATCGAGAAGCGCCCTCTGTGGTTGTTTACCTTGTTGAACCTTTCACTTTGAGCTCGGATCAACCTGAGCTACAACGACTCGCCCTGCTAGCGCTATTGAGGTGCTTCCAGAGCGTTTTGGCCGCCGTACCTGAAAATATTAGGAGTAATATTAGTGTACAGGTAAGGGATTCACTATTCTATTCTAGAGTAGCTTTTACAATTTTTCAATGTGGAGTCAGCTCAGAAGTTTCCCTATACAGTGTGTCCGAAATTCGAGTCTCTACATGGGGATTTCGCTTATTATGAGAGATACAGGGTGGCTCAAATTAGGAAAGTTTTAGGGAATTTATTGCTCATTTATATCCTGTTGTTAAATTTGCTTCAAAGTTTTCTGTTTCCTAGAAATTCGAGAAAAACTGAAAATAGCCAATTTTGTTTTTTGTCAATAATTCATAAACCGTTGACTTTAGACTTTTCTAACTTAACATTAATGAGACACTTTTTTGAGACGGATATTTTCCTGATTTGAAAACATTCCGAACGTCGTTTGTTTTTGAGTTATTAACCAAAACTTTCTTATTTCTTATGGCGGCCATCTTCGATTTTTACAAAATAATATTCTGCGAAAAAAATCCTTTAAAATGATGTATTACAAGTTATGAAAACGTTTGGCAAGTCCTTCAAAATTACAGTTGGAACCGATATTTTGCTAAATCTGGCAACAATGCTCATAGTTATAAGAATAAAACCGAGAATAAAACTAAATAGGTATGATTTAATACCTAGAATCGGTATTTTTGAAGTCTTCTGGCAATTTTACTGGAAAAAGAAAAAATAAGTAGGTAAGGTATTCCACATGTTTTTTTTTTTTTTTGTAATGTAAACATGAATTACAGCTTTCCTGCTTTCTTCTTTCGGGCAAATTCGTCGTTCACGCAAAAACAAGAATTATATTTGGAATATCCAAATTGTTATAATTTTTCCTGAGGCGTAAAACCGTTTGATATGTGTTTGTTTTTCTTTTGGTTCTGACTTTAAAGTTTTTACCTAGGGGTGAACCGCTGCGCAAAATCTGTACACAAGAACTGTTTTCCCGCGGTGGAACTGGTTCGTTCCGGTCCGATAAGGTTCGAACCTGTACATTCTTGCCTTGAACCAGTGACGTCACATTGAACCTGGCTTGTTTTTTGTTGACATAAGACTGTGGTTCAAACCTTCCATTTTCTCGTGTTCACAAGTGGTGACGTCATCTACAAATTGGTTTAAACCGTAGTTAGAACCATTTGCTTGGCGAGAAAACGCCTCAGATATCCCCCTACTGACAACCTCAAGACATCCTTAAACTTCCTAGGACACCCTCGCACATCCCTGCACATCCTCAAACATCCCTGGATATCATCAAACATCCCTCCCAGCTCGAAAATCCCAGGACATCCCTTTTTCCTGTACATCTCTGATATATTTTTGGGGACTATTGGTCTTTCATAGCAAGGCTTGTAACAACAGAATTAGTCATTGTTACCTTATAACAGGGTAACAAACCAGCCATGTTCAAGATACTCAGGCTATGATGAGAGAATTGATAAGAAATTTGCGAGCTTGGAATAGAAACAAAATACTTTGTGTATGAATTTTTTTCTCAAATTTTTTTGAATTTGGTATACTTTGCAACATAGGAATAAAGGAAATATCTTTGCTACCTTAGACATCCCCACATCTCCTGGGACATCCTCAGACATTCCTTTGTCCTTTGGACATCCCCTGAACATTCTGGATATAATTCTGGGACATCCCTGGAAATTCTGTAACATCCCCAAGCTTGTACACGAAACATCCCCATCGGTTCACCCTTCGGTTTTTACTTACATTGATTGCTTACAAAATGTTAACATTGACGTTATTTTTCAGATAATTTCATTGGAAAGTATAGTCGAATTAAATAAAGCCCGAGAACGGATGCGTCATAGTGACCAAATGAGAGCACTTGCATTAAACATCTTTTCCCAATGCAGAAGACTACTAATCCACACAAATAACGTAAAATCGCTCACCGGTTTCGGCACAGCCGCTACAGCCGATTTGTTTTTGAAGAACAAAGACGTAAGAATATATTTCTATATTATTATGTTATAGTTTTAAATAATTCTTAAATTATTAGGAGAAAAATAGAGCTCCCTACAAACTCTACACGCCACCCTACATCCTAGCGCCGATGCGAGAAAAAGTCGAAGCTGCCGAGGCGTTTGGCAAAGCCGCCCAAGACCAGTGCTCGGTGATGTACGTTTCCTATTGCCTCTCAGAGGACCAGAGTTGGTTGTTGGGCGTTTGCACCGACGAAAAGGGCGAATTATACGAAACAGTTACCATCAACATTGACATACCCAATAGGAGCAGACGGAAAAAGGCCTCTGCCAGACGGATAGGATTAGAAAAATTGATGACGTTCATTTTGGGCGTCATGTCGCAAAGTGTCAGACCTTGGAGACTTGTTGTCGCACGACTAGGGAGAATAGGTAAGAATTTTGAGTTTACATAAGTGATTTTGTGTCCAAAAAAAAAAGCATGATTGTTTATTAATTAACAATAATTGCTCAATATGTTTAAGGCTGTCATCTTCACGGTTGTTGGCAAAAAGGTTTTAGAACTTGGGCCCCTATTAGGATATGCAAGTTTTTATTCTCTGTATTCTACAGAAGTCAGTATAGATGTTATTTCGGTTTCTAGTGTGGTGAGAGTGAATATGTTCATATATCAAAAAAGCAAAATTATTTTCCATTATAAAATTAAGTAGAATATTCCTTGCTTGCAAACAAAGCAAAAAAATATCAATTCTTTTTATTAGGTCACGGTGAACTGAAAGGTTGGAGCTGGCTCCTCAGCAAAAAGAACCTGCTGAAAGCTTCGAGACACCTAAAAGAAATCTGTAATCAGTGCTCTATGCTCTATCCAAATGCGGTTCCTTGTATTCTATCTGCTTGCCTAGTCAGCTTGGAACCGGACTCGTGTTTGAGACTCATGCCCGATCAATTCACTCCCGACGAACGATTCAGCCAGGCCAGCGTCAATTCGCAACTCAGCACACCGCAAGATGTGTCCTGCACTCACATCATGGTCTTCCCTACCAGTGCTACCACGCAATCGTCACAAACTGCCTTCCAGGTAAGAATTTTTCAGGGATAGTTAATAAAGCAGCTAACAAATTTATCTTAATAGGAAACGCACATTTCTGGTGATCTTGGAGACGATGAATTATTCAAAGCTTTCGATGACGACATGACGGAAGGCATCGATAACGAATTTACTGACATTTTCAATTGGGATCAAATAGCTTGTCAATCGCCTACCGGAAGTCCTAGACGGGAAGACGCACCTGGAAGTCCTGGAGGTGGCGTCGTAGGCGGTATGGAAGGTGTATCCGGTGTACAAGGTGGAATGCCCAAGGGACAAGAACCTAGCGAAGAAGTAAGTTGTATTTTCAAAAATTATCTTCAATTAAACACTGTTAATTTTTGTGTATTTTTATTAACTTGATTTTTTTCCTAGGTTGGTGTAGTTCTTCAACAACCTCTAGCTCTAGGCTACATGGTATCGACAGCGCCAACTGGTAAAATGCCGCGGTGGTTTTGGACTTCTTGTCCGCACCTGGAGGGCGTGTGTCCGGCTTTTCTTAAGAACGCGCTGCACTTGCACAGTCCCAACATTCAGAGCAGCGACGATCTGTTCCAACAGTCCTCGCAACTCAGTAGTCATCCGCTCGATTCTACTTATACTACTGATGTGTTAAGGTAAGAACTAACTGTTTTTATTTAAAGTAAACTACTTTTGACAATATTACCATCTCATTATGTGAGTCCCAAACTTTCAAGTTAAAGGCGCCAATGGGGAGTTTTAATCCGTTTTCGACCCCGGGTGACAACCTTTTTGCAAGGGACGCGAACCGGCTGACGGGTATGAGAAGTCATATTTTTTCATAAATATTCGATCTGAACCAAAATTTTTCTTTTAAGTAGAGAGCGCCTAAAACAAAAAATTTAATTTTTAATAATTTCTTAAGACACTGAACGCAGGGGCTGGGGTGTTGTCACCCGGCGGATTATTGAAGGCCTACATATAGCGCATCTATTTCTATAAAATTTAGCCATTTAAGTTACAGACTCCTTTTCTTGCGGTCAGCTCTTAGACTATTAAGTTAACACAAAATCCAATGTCAAACTTCATTCAGTAAAAATCAAGTTTCAACACTGGGAGCGTTATCTAATTTTACATTACTAATCTATATACAACTACGTGATGAAACTGAAGTAGCACTAACTGTTTCAGCTGGGAGTTGATTCCAGAGGGTAAAGACTCTGTTTGGTAGAAAGTTTTCCCCACAAATTGTGCAGTAGTTTTTTTATAAGTCTGAAATTGTGACCCTTGAGTCACTGGTCTATGTTTAAGGCATAGAGATGTCTAACAGCCCATTTATTATGTTATGTAGTTTTGTAAACGCTTTTTGGGGGGCGTTTGGGGAGACCTTCTTTAGGGGGAATAACTTGCTGTTCGCTTTTTTGCATATTGTTGTTACATGTGCTGACCGTCAATTCTTTGATTATCAGAACTACAAAGTCATTATGTTGTTGGACACTGACTAGTACTGGCAGTACGGGCCCATTGATGGTGTATTCATTTTGTGGGTTATTTTTCCCAAGATGGAGTACCACACATTTTTGCACATTAAAGGGTAGTTACCAGTCCTCATACCACTTGTCAATTTGATTTAAATCATTCTGGAGCGAGTTAGAATTGTTGGCGGAACCATAAGTTTATATGTCGTTGGCGAACACTGCACCTATTGATATTATTAGGTTAAGGTGATATAGTGTAAGTAACAAGCAACAGAGGTGCAATTACCTTACGTTGGGGTACGCCACTTTGTACTGGATAGAGTTCAGAGTATAAGTCGCCACCTCTGACTTTGTACTCCCTGTGTGTAAGATAGTCCAAAATGATCCAGTTTTAGCAGAAGCTTCTGGGTTGGGACTCGGTCGAATGCTTTGGCAAGATCCAAGTATATGACATCAATGGAAGTTTTTTGGTTTAATGATTTTAGGACAGTCAAAAACGCAAGTTGTGGTATTCTGTTTTGATACAAAACCATGTTGAGTTGGAATTAATAAAGCTCTTTAACAGTAAATTGTTCTTGTTCAAGAAAACCTCTTAGATTTTTTGCAACCATGGATTCTACGATTTTGCTTATAATAGGTAGCAAGCTTATTGGCCTGTAGTTTCCAGCATCCAGTGAAATTTTTTGTAAATCGAGGTGACTGATGCAGCATTTTTTGCTCGAGTTACATATTCATTATTTTGCACAGGGAAACAACAAGGTTGTTTAAGCACTTTTTAATATTCTGTCCAGACCTGTATGTCTATTCTTGAAACCGGGGAAAAGCGTTCTCGTGAGAACGATTGCTCTGTCATTAGTGTTATGGAAACTCATATGAGTGACGAAGACAGAACCTTCGTTCTCATGAGAACTACTGTGCTTCCCTGTTTCAAGAATAAGGACTCTGAAGAGCTGGCAACGTTCAGGGATTTTATCTTCTTTAGGATGTCTTAGGTTGTGATTGAGATATTTGTGATTTCATTTGGTACCCTGTCAAAATTTATTTGGAGATCTTCAGAAATTAATGCCTCCATGGTGAATACTTAAGAAAATCCATTTGCCAAGATTGTGGCTTTCTCAATATTGTCTGTAATGTACTTGTGTGATTTTTTGGGGTCCTCAGAGTTTCTTAGGCTGTCAATGTATGTCAGCTTAGCTTCTTTGATTTTTTGTGTTAGAATGTTGGAGAAGGTGCGATGTTCCCTGTAGTCAGTGGGATTATTGGTACGTAAGTACCTTTTCCATAGGGCAATTTTTTCGTACAGTTTCTGATGTAGTTTTTTGGTTGTAAGTTATGCATTATGCATATTTTGTTCAAATGAGAAATTCTTGTCCATACTAGTACTTGTTAACGTGTCAACTGCTCTGAATATTGCTAACAGTCCCTTTCTTGTAAGGCAGTAATTTCTCTCGGGCTTGTTAAGCACTTTACTGCAATGACCCTTTCTCTCAGATTCAGATTCCTTATTGCTGCTAATATTGTCAAAGTCAAACAAATACATATATGTATAGATAAGATAAAATTATCCTAGACATCTAAGGCTTGGTTGTATCAAGTTAAACATGCCATCACAGCCCACAAATTCTTAACTTGAGTAGACAGCCTTGAAGATTAATTCCCGTTTAACAAGCTTTTTGAATCGTAGAAGTTGGAGACCCTTGATCCATTTAGGAAGACTATTAAAATACCTTATAGCCAAAAAGTTTTGTCTATTCTGACCCTTTTTTAGTCTGGCGTATGGAGTAAGCCGATCATCTTTGTTTCAAGTGTTATAGGTATGAAAACCGCCGTTTGTATCATATTTATACAAGTTCGATTTGGTAAAAAAAAAAATTTCATAAATGAAAATTGATGAAAATGTTCGATAATGGACAATCTGCCCTGTATGGTAACCTCGCAATGATTCTTAAAGATTTCGTCTGTAAGGCAAAAATCCTACCCGCATCTATAGCCCCTCCCTAGACTATTATGTCGTAAGACAACAATGAATGGCAGAGGGTAAAGTATGCCGCCCTGAGAAACACCACCTGTCATAACCCTCAGCACAAATATGTCCCTGCTTATTTTAGTTGGAAGTTCCCTAATATGGAGGTCCCACTTCAAGATTGGGTGCAACGTGATTCCCGGGAACCTTACCCCTTTCATTGTCTCTAGTTCTGTCTCACAGTCTCTCAAAGAAAATATCATTTTGTGTGTCTTATCCCTATTCAAAATTAGGCTATTCTTCTCAAACCAGTCCCCATCCGCCGAATGTGTCTTCCCAAGTTCTCCCAGAAATTTCCTTGTCCACCGCTGAGCTCATATCCTCCAACAACACACCGTTTACTTTTACTTTCTGAGTCCCTATTAGCAAGATATGATTTCATCAGTTGGATACTATCAGTATCAAAGTTGTAGGATTCAAGTTATTTTGTCTTGCCCAAGTCGGTACTGTTTACTTATCCCACTGGCGAACTACAATCCCTGAAAATTCTAGCTCATTTGGACTTATAGATTCCGAGAAAAAATCGCCTTAAGGAAATCGACGGCTAATGGGCGGGAGCAAAATCTTCTGAGTGCCTTTTTTCATAGAATCCGGCTCCAAATCTTGGAATAATTTAGTGTATGGAGTTTGGGGTATGTTGACTGACCATTAGGATACAAAATAGCGACAAAAAAAAATTTGAAATTTCATCGTTTTAGTAAGAAGGTTTACCTTACCTTATGATTTAGATTTTGGAAAACTTTGAAAAGTCATAATTTTTTTTCTAATATAGATAGAAAGCTGAAACTTTCACTGAATTTTATCCCAATCAAGGGACTACACTCCCTGAAAATTTCAGCTCATTTACACTTATACTTCCTGAGATAAAATCGTGTTAAGCAATTTGGGGTGATTTATCAATTTTTCAATTTTTCTGAGTGCTTTTTTTCATAGATTTAGGCTTCAAATCTGAGAATAATTTCGTGTATGGAGTTTTGGGGATGTAAATTGACCATTAGGATACAAAATCTCAACAAAAAAAATTGAAATTTTATCGTTTTAGTAAGAAGGTAGATATGATTTATATGTGAGGCTGATAGGCCTGTAGTTTTCTGGTTTGTGCCGATCTCTTTTCTTGAACAGTGGTGTCACAATTGAATATTTCCATGTTTCTGGTATCTTTACTTGTTCTAAAGATATCTACTTTTATTTGTAATTGAGGTCGTTTCTTAATATATTACTTGCATTCCGGGCAGAAATACATTGTAGCTCATGAAATACTAGGAATAGCGGTCACTTCTTGCGCCATTGAGCCAGTACACTCTTCACAAATTAACCTCTTGCAAAAATCACAAGGATATCCAAACATCTTTTCCTTATTCTCCTTTAAAACATATTGTTTATTGCATTTGTAGCAATCTTGTGACATTCTAGCCTCACTTATTTTGCAAAGTTAATTATTACCCAAAATTACAAAGATACTCAGCAACGCCAAACAAGATACACTATCCTAACCCATTTGCCACAGAATTTCACCAAAAAGTCAATTTATAATCATTATAATTATAGATTTTCAATTTTTCCATTCACGAACTGATGGATTTTTCTCACGTCAGTATGAATTTTTTCAAGTGAAACTACGTGGCCAAGAAAATCAACGCGTTGTTGCCTTACGGATATGAGTAAATACTTCTTGTAACATCTGAAGATGCTCATCGAAAGTTTTTACTATCACTAACACATCATCCAGATAGAGAAGGGAAACTTTCCATGAAAGACCTCATAGTACGATTTCCTTCGACCTCTCAAAAGTAGCGGGGGCGTTACAGAGTCCTGGAATTGGTAAAGGCCACTTCCTGTGGAGAACGCTGTCCTCACTTTGTCTTTTTCGTTAATGTCCGCCTGCCAGTATCAGCTTTTTAAATCCAAAGTAGAAAACCAATTTCAGTTTGCAAATGTCATAAGGTTATGGTCAATCAATCAATCATGTTTATTAAATAAGCAATATATTTTTTTTATACATGCTGTATAACATAACAGTTAAATTAAAAATAAGGTAAAAAAAAATAATAATAAAAACAAAAATTACAGTTGTACAAAATAATATAAAATATTTGTATAAAAAACATGACACATTGGTTCCTTTGAAGCTGACTATCCAAATGGAATTTTTCAG